AAACAAAAGGAAGAGAAAAACCCTGAAAAATTATCCCAAAAAAGAAGACACACAATGGACCGCTTGAGTAAAAACTAAGAAATAGCTTTTTCTTAAAATTTCAGACCTTTTACTCGATTCATTCAAATAAATTTAAGTAAAATATCTGAAATTTTAAGAAAAAGCAATTGCTTAGTTTTTATTCATATGGCCCAATATATTATTCATATCGATGAATTGTTTGAGGGAATTGCTATTATTTCTATAATGTCACTAAAGTCAAGTTAGTATGGTTTCGTTAAAAAAAAAACAACAATCTTAACAAATAATTACAAAAACCTTTAAAAAAATTTAAGCAGCCATAATAAAACATAACCAAAGATCATAGGAAATAATAAAATAAATAAATACGGTATTTATGCATAATTTAATAATATTCTAATAGCCAATTTGGGCGTGTGTGAAATGAAATGAAATGAAATGAAATGAAATGAAATGAAATGAAATGAAATAAAGATGCTATGTTTATCGCTCCCTTATATTCTATGTTCTTTGTGATAACGAAAGTGCTACCACGTTTGTTCGAAATATAGTTTTTGGGTCCCAGAGTACAGCGAAACCTATTAAAGTAACCCTTTTAAGACCGAATTAAGTAGGGTGGGTCTAAAACATTTGTCAAGGTTTTATGTTTTCATTCATTTTCTTTATTATATTTTATAAGCTAACCCTTTGCTTAAAAGAAATATAATTTATTATGTGTACTTTTTAAAAATGTTGAAGAATCACTTTAAGCAACATTTATGTTACACAAGTACAACGAAAAGGTGCTGATAACTAATTCGAGTTATAACAATTTTGAAACAAACTTCGAAACTGCTGTGCCAGTTTTTACTCCGAAATTAGAAAACAAATTACGTAAAATGTCGAATGAAATTTCGAAGTTTAACTTTAGAATCGTAACAATTTAGCTTTCAAAGGGCCTAGAGACTTCTACCTTGGCTGAAATTAAAGCTCTTGTATAGCACTGAAACTGACTTGTTGTTCGAGGGATATAAAAATGTGTGAAGGATGCACAGTTGCATGGAAATCATAAAAAATGCAATATATAATGCATTTTTCAAATTGAGGGGTTGAAATTTTTTTTCGTTTTTTAAACAGTAGAATCGTGTTTCTCGTCTCAAAACCTATAATATTAGTATAATAAAAAGTACAAGAAAGGTTTTTTTTAATACATATGTTGGATTTGGCATGTTTTTTTTTCGAAGAACACTATTTTTGACCAATTTTTTTAAGGTCAAGGACTGGTTGTGGCTTAATGGCGATATTTTTTCTTGAAAGGCAGTTACATTAGCTTTCAAAGCCATTTTGTTTCATATCAAAATATTGCTTCGGTCGAACGCGCTACGATTAATTGGCATGAAGTCTTAAAAAAGCACACTGTGTGTCGTGGAGTTAGCTCGAAGATCTTATTTTTCAGTTGAGAAAAGTAATTTTGAAATTTTAAAATTAGCACGGTGTATTTTTCTCAAAAACATATGACTCAAAACATATGATTTATAAAAATATAGTTCATTTATAAACAATATATAATAAATTTAAATAAAATGTCAGTCATACTTGGGCGTACGAAATTTTTGATTCTCGTTCATTCAAATAGCAGAAATTACCGCTACCTCATCTTCTATGTTGTGAAAAATTTTATTGCTGTATCGATTACCAGTATCTCACTAAATAGAAAAAAAAATGTATTCATTTTGCTATAAGAGTACATATATGTAAATTTAAAACTTTAAAGCCGTTTGTTTTGAGTTTTGCTTTTTTGAGTTATGACATTATTGAAGTAAATGAGCGATATGTAATATTATAAGGCAAGCTGGATATCGTCACCTGAAATGCAAAAAGAGGTAAGAACATCGTAACTGAATCGGTAAAGGTCGTGGCTGGTATTTTTATTTTTTTTTGTTCATAACATGAGGTGGGTAGTTGTAATCGATGAAATCTATCCTATAAATCAAAAAGTGAATTTTGAATTTTATATCAGCGATGATGTTTGTTACGTCTTTTTGCATTTCCGGTGACGACGTAAGCTCCACTTCTCCATTGTGGCGCAGGCGCACTTCCATTTTTAACCGAATCCCAAAAAAGGAGGAAGTTATCAGTTAATCGGAATATATATTTTTTTATGTATGTTACCGCATAACTTTGGATCACGTTAACCGATTTCGATAATTCTTGCATCGGAAAGGTAGTGTCTCAGAGGTGGTCACATACTAATCTCGTTTAGATCCGATCATATATATATTTTGTTTTTAAGTCGGCTTTTTTTTTGCTAAAAATTACTTGTTTATATTTGTCAATTACATTTCCAATTGAGTTGGTACGTACCAATCGGGGGACTGTTAAAACAATTTTGCCCCCAATTTTTATATTTTTTCCGAATAGACCACAATAAATTTTTTTTACAAATTTCTACAAATCTACTAATCGTGTGAAACAGCCTTAAGAGTGCATGTTACAAACGTTCGAAGTTTGGTTCTGACAAATGTATAACCGTGGGCCATACTCGCATCTCATATAGGATAGTGAATGATTCGCGAGAGAAGATATCGGCATTCGCATGTATGAGTTTCTTAATACATATTCATAATCCTTTCAAATCTAACCCAACCTAATGTCGCCTTGGGATAGACGATGGCAAATTGGCCTTCTGCATAACGTTGGACTAATTCGGAACCAATGCAAAATAACAATTCAGTTGCGATTTTAAATCCAACATATAGAAAAAATAAGCAAAATATATAAATACTAGTAGCTTCATATTAAAGTTGCCACCTTAGACCAGTTCAGTGCTGGTTCGTAGTGACTTAGTACGCTTGAATACTCTATACAAACTGAAATTTTAGAATCAGTTGCTTCTTGCAGGGTATTCAATGTATAGTGACTATCTACGTAATTACTTGTATTATAATTTTTCTGCTGCTTACACGGAGTTCACGCAAAGTTCATTTCTCATTGCGTTTATTTAGACTAGCAGTCATTTTAAATATACAGACTATAGGCCAATTTCAAATTTTCATACCGCTCTGAAGTGCATTTCACGTTTTAAAAACATGACAAATATAGCTGATACGCTTGCTAACTTGATATGACTTATAATAATATGATAATTGTGATAACCCTATTTGACTCTGCCAGATAATGAATGAATTAATTTAATGAACTTATGTAAATGCGTAAATTCTTTGCAACAAATTCGAAAAGCACTTCCTTGAAAAATAAAACTCTAATAGCCTGCAAAATCTATTTAACTGCCGGTTTCACCAACAATTTAATATAAAAATGATAGTTGCGATCCCGTACGAGTCCGGACTAGTAAGAAATAGTCAGAATGAGTCTGATTTTACTATAAATCGATCCCGTACTCGGTTCTCTGACTATTGAGAGGACAAAAAAGAGAGTAAATACGGTTCTCTCTCTGTCAGAAGTTACCAGTTTTAGTCCGAGAATTTTTTGCTGGTAATAGGTTTGTTCGTCGAGCAAAAAATTTGTACGAATTTGTACGAAATCTTACGATTTTTGCCCAAATCGCGTTCGTGCAGACCAAAAAATTATCCAACACTCAAAAATTGTGAGAGCAAAGTGACAGTTCTCTTGGAGAGATGTTGCAAATTCTTGCTGGAAAAAATTTTGCCAGCAAGAATTTGCAAACACGAAAAACATGTGGTTGTGGCGCATGGTTGCATTTTTGTCTACAATAATTTGAATAAATTAGTTCGTTAAATTTAAAAATTTATAAACACGAGCGATGTATATATGGTGTTTTTGGCCATCCGAAAGAATTTTAAAAATTCTATAAAAAATGTTTATGTTTGAAATGCAACCGTGGACGCCAGCTGGCAGGGAAACTTGCAAATTCCTGCAAATTTGCGTTCGTGCAGAAATTTGCAAGTTTCTCAACATGAGAGAGAATTTGAGAAAATGTTTTCTTACTCTCTGATATTTTGAGTGTTGGATAATTCTTGCTGGATTTTCGACGAACAAACCTAAATTCTGGTGAACATGTCAAACGATCAGCTGTTGTGTGTTTGGCAACCAAATTGTAAACAAAAGAAAAGCGCACTCTGCTAATTCATGTGGAAAAGTATTAAATTACTTGTTTAAATGGATTCTAATGAATTTGAAATTATTTTTGGTTATTTACATGTGTGAGCTGAGTGTGTTTGCATACAAAATAAGCAACGATTTACAACCAAAATTTGGAGGTTATGTTGAAGTTGACAGAAGTTACCATTTTTTACCGGAAAGCGATCCCGTACTTTTCAATGTTAATCTCTCGCTCTGAGCGAATTTTTAATTTTTGACAGTTTTTCTAGTTTTAGTCCGAGGAATACGGGATTGCACCTGATTTTTTCAAATCCATCAGTTCTTATATTAAATTCAAAGTAAAATAATAACACAGGTAAAAAAAAGAAAGTTTCTGCATATTGAACCAAACCTCTATATCCCTATTTTTTAGTATTTTAGCCTCCACCACATCAGGTTCGAAGTCATTAGAAGCTGATTGACCGTGAGATGACCTTGGCATGACCTCTAGATGACCTTGAAGAATCAAGAGATCCCTATACATATTTGGATTCAGTGACAACATATATGTATATAAATTTTTATCTTTATTCAATAAATTTTTCCCAATCTGACCCTCAAATGACCTCGAACATGACATTATGGAGGTTACCTGACCTCGAATTCGCATTCAACACGTCGAGGTTTTTTTGTAAACCTTTGTAATTTTTCATTTAAATTGTTTTCTTAAAACTCGCTATAAATGAAAAACTGATATGAAAACTGAAAAATTGCTGTTGAAACCAGTAGTAAGAGCTATTTTCTCAAGTAGCTTTTAAAATTTATTTACCCGTTCAATACAAATTCTAACTAAATTCTAACTAAATGTTTTTGTAAAATGTACATACAGATATTAAATTTACTACGTATATAGTACATACATAATAAATATTCTTTACCTTTTTATCTTTCCGCTTGAAGCAAGTTGCTGTATTTTCTCCACTTCTTGGCTGTACAAATTCAGTTTGCTGCTCACAGGTGGCAACAATTTGCGTTCTTATCACATTTTCATACTGTTGCATTTTATTAAGATTTCAATTTAAAACAAGCACACGAACTTAAAATAGTCTAAGTTTTTGTATGTATATAAACTATGCAATTTCTAAAATTATTTTGAAATCGAAGAAGTTATTATTTTCTCCGATGGTCTTCAAGGAATATATTTACATATAATCAGTGGCATGGATAGCTAGCTCCGTGCCATGGGGGAGGACGGAATCGACTAATCCACTAATATCGAGGCTTGTATTCAATACATTCTACCCACAATTTTTATAAAAAAAAAATAGTTTCTTTTATTAAAAGCCAGTGCTGAATTAACTGTCATCGATATTATAAGTTTTATTTGGTATTGAGTTTCAAAGCTAGACTCACCATCAGGGATGCCATTCAATCCCCATATGGATAGAAAATTAGATACTAGTTTTTGTGAAAAGTGGAGGTGCAGGCAATTGAATAAAAGTGGGTTTCTGCCTTGAAGCAAGCGGCTGCAATTTTTTTTTTTATTCTTCTAGTCCCTGACTGTGCGATGGATGAAACCATCTTCTTCTGATGAAGATCAGGGCAATCGTTTAAATGTCTATGATTTGAGTGCAGATAAACCCGAGTACCCAGTCGATGATGACAGATGACTAAGACGAGATACGGGTGGTAAATTCGGGGCTGAAAATCTATGCTGCTAGGGCTCACCAAATGCCAGTTGAGCCATTTAAGTACAGAGCGAGGAGTGCCAGCACCAATTGCATGCGTTGTGAAACTTGGGATCCCATAAATTGTGTAGCAACATGACACACACTAATAATTGGACGGGAAGCCCGGCGAAACACCTTGCATAATGTGTTAGCGCCAATATCTTATTAGTTTCTTTTTCTATATCTGTTTTATGCTTTAAATAAAATTAAAAATGTTACATGTTGTTTTCCTTTTTCCATTCCATTTGTCTTTTCTTTTCTTACAACAACTTCATAAATGAGTAAGATTTTGCATATGCATTAGGATGCATCAGTTTGCATAGAAACAAAAAACAAAAAAAAACGTTAGTTTTATCATTCGAATTGTAAAATTTATTATATTTTAAGACTTGCGCTAAAATATTTCGGAAATTTCCGTGAGCTGGACCAATTTAGAAATAAAAAGAGTTTTTAAAAATATTTTTTTCAAAAAACCACCCCAAATTTCAAGAGTTTAAGCTTAAAAGATGTGCAATGGAATTCAAATAATAAGATTCTTGGAGATATTTTCAAATTGGCCCAGCTCACGTATGTGAAGTCTTAATTTTCTCCCGAAATATTTTGGCGGTGGAAAGACCACAACTATTTTTGGTGAGGCACATTAATATCCAAATGTGTATATACATATGTACATATGTAAATACAGTGGACGAAAAAATTATAGCCCCACCACATATTGACAAGTTTTAACACGTTATTATATTTTTTTTGTTATTTAATTTTGATTATTTTTTTATCAAAACTTAGCTCATATAGTTAGAGAAAAAAAATTACAGTTGATTTGTTAGATTTTTTTTTTGTCGACGATGTTGAGGTTTTCTTCCATATAAAAATGAATTGTGCTTATTCGTTATATGCAAGCAAATGGTACAAAAAAAATTATAAAACAATAACGTTAATTTTCAGCCATTTGAAACTTGCACTTATTCTACTACAATTCAATGGGCTACAAACGGCATACTCAAAATCTTTTTAAGAAATCTATTTGAAAAGTCCGATATGGTTACGAAAGCTTTTAGAATTTTTTTAAATATTGCACAATATTTGAAACTCAGACTTACATGGTTTTTGTTGTTTTTATAAAAAATAACCAAATTTAAATAACAAAAAACTAATATGTTAAATATGCGAAATGTGGTGCGGCTAAAATTTGTGGGACCACTGTTTTAGCAGTACATCTGTATGTACATACTTATAAGCGCGTGCATATGTATAAATAACTTTTTAATTGCAAAATGAAGTTGTTCATTTTTGGTCACAATTTTCAGTGAAAAAGTAGACCAAAATGAGAAAAATCAAACTAATTCGCTGAGAAAAATACAATTAATTTTTTTTTTATTTGCTGCTCAGAACAAAGTGCATCGTTTTTGACTTTCTGCCAACGAATAAAAAGAAAACATGCAAAAGCAACGAACTCAAAAAAAACTAGATCAAGTTCACAGTCTTTGGCCGCGCTAACAACAAACAAAAAGAAAATGATAGAGAAGTGCATAAATACACTGAAGGGACCAAACATAGCAAACGCAAATCGACCAACAAAGAATTGTTAATAAAACCATAATAGTAAAAACCCTGCTGCATATTGCTTATTTATAAAATTAAAATTTTTCAAAACTGCATAACATTTTAAGCAATTGTTTGCCGAACTTTTTTAAAACGTACATAAGTTACACTCTTTCGTAGAACATTGAATTTATTCCATATATGTATGTACCTACATTTGTATGTAAGTATTTATATACACATGTGCTTTCGTAGTTATTCACTTTATTATTTAACTGTACAATTTACACATATTAGACATGCAGCGACCGTTCAAAACAATTTTAAATATTGTTCTAATTGTCGATTTTTTCGCACACCACGCGCACTTAGCAACACCGAAGCATCGGAAACCGACTGATTGTTGCATTTGTTGCTAACTTAACACATGTCATATAAGCTCGCTGATGTTGATGTGTTGATCAGTTGGTGGATATTTGCACTATGAGCACCAAAATGTGCAGCGGTTTGTTTCATTAGCGTATACCGTTGCATTGCATTTTCGAGAGCGCACCTCTAAGCATGAAATACTGACAATTTCTGTATGTAAATCCTTTAGCAAATATAAATTTCGTCGTTTAATGCATGATAAAAATATAGTAAGGTAGAACCGCTGAGAGTCACTTATAAAATTCTTGACGTTTCCAAACAATTTAATTTTTAAATTTACTCACAAACTCACACACACATCTTCATTTTCAATCTCAAGCAACAACAATTTCGAACAATTTCAATTTTTTATTTTCACTTTTATATGATTTTAAAATGTTGGCAAACTTCAAGAAAAAATCATGGCCGACAAATTGAGAGAACGGTTCTACCTTGCTCTGTTTTTATCATGGTTTAATGTACAAAACGGCGTATCGTCATTCTGCAAAACCGCGTAACTGACATTTGCTGCCAAAAATTGGATTTGCTCACACCAGCTCTTGGCTCAATCCTTATCTATTCGTCCTGAAATATACTAGCCAGAAATGCGAGTAAAAACAATCATATTTCAAAATGATTCTTTTTTTGCTTTATAAAATTTCAAAATGATTCTCTTTTTTATAAAGCAAAAAAAGAGAATCATTTTGAAATATGATTGTTTTTACTCCCTAGAAAGTAATTTATGCAAGCTCACATCGCGGTCTTGCATTTTGTTGATACGCGGTTTTGTACTTTAAACGTCGATTTTATAAAATCTGAATTTAAAAAAATACATCCTAATTTTGCAAATTAAAAGGTATTAGTTAGGGAAAATATCCCTGAGTTAAAATTGTATTTTATTATCACGTTTATATTTAAACAATTTATGACATTAAAAAGGAAAAATGAAAAGTGGGGCGCATGCAATAGAATTGAAGTGATATACATAATTCATTACCCATTCCATTAAATGTAATTGACAATAAGTCTTTATTCAATATTCAAACCAATTAACATAGACCTAAAATTTCTACTGCGCAAATACAAATTTGGAAAAAAATGCTTTGCCAAAATCTTAATATCAAAATGATAGAAACAAATTCTATGGAACTAGGAAAAATTTATTTATTTAATTTTATAAAAGGCTTACATAACAATGAAATTATTATATAAACCATTTATAGAAACGTGGTTTGTTCTATTTTCTTTTTTAACTTCACGGCCAAAAAAAATGTGTAGCTTTTAAAGCAATGATGAGCAAAGAGAGCATTTACTCTTCTCTCGCAGGATATGTCGTGGTCGTGACTAGTGTGACCAGAAGATCACAAAAACCGAAGCTAAATTGATTTTGAAAAAGGGTCAGAAAAAGTTATATCCCATAAAAAATTAGGTATACATAACTTCAAGGGATGCAATTCGGTTTAGAATAAAACCGCGAAAATTTTGTGAATAGTAATATGGAAAATAGTCTCTTGGGGCATCAAACTAAAGAAATATTATGTTTTCTAAATCAGAGTACCCTGGTAGTACGCCAACAAATCAAATGGTAAAAACGTTTAAACTTAAACTTTAAAGAATGTTTCTTCGTTCTACCAATTTTTTTGAACATAAAAAAGCGAAGCAATTTTAATTTTCTCAAAGACATTCACCCATAGTCACAGTCTTAAGTTGAAACTTTCTCTTTTTAGTTAGAATAGATTTTTAAGTTTTGTCACTCATTAACATCTTAGGAACAGCTTTTTGTTAAGATGAGAGAGAAAAGAGCTATCCAAACGAAAAAAGAATATTAACTCAGCAATATAAAGAAATATGTGTGAGTACTTTAATTAGTTCACCCTTTGTCCGAGACAATATTGAGAATTTATCAAGACGCGAATTCGTGAGCTTGAATCCCACTGCCATAACTATTTTCTAAAAATGTTATTAACTTATGCACTGCAGGTCATTAAGATAGCACACCCCTTTGTTAAAATTGTTTTTTAAATTTGTATACAATTTTAAAATCGCGTGAATATGCTACATTTTTATAAAAAAAATTAATTAATATAAAAAAAAAACAAAAGGAAAGTTGTATATGTATACTGGGGATCAAATGGGTGTGCTATTCAAATGACTGGGAGTGTATTTGTTTATGTATGCACATAATATTATGCACAATGCAGAAAAGCGCAAAGAATAAATTGCATAAAGTTCTTTGTAAACTCAGTTTTTTTTTTATATGAGAGCACAACGATCAGCACTTAAATCATATCAACAGCTGTCCTGTCCTTCACATTGACCATTTGAATGTTGAGCGAATATGCAAATAAATTGCGGTGATCGCTAGTACCAGAAATTAAAACAACACAACCCAGTAGATAATTTCAGGAGTTAAAAGGCCTTCCTGAGAGTCAAGAGGCCTTTCTTTTTTATTTTTTTTTTTATGGAGTGGCACAAATTGAAGGGCTTCTTCCTTCGCTACCCATAGAACGCCCTCCAGAAGGGCTTTCATAGGACTTACTTCAGAAGGCCTTTTTGAGGAGTTCTTTTAAAGTTGCTGTATTAATTTATAAAAATCATACATCTTTGAAGTATTTGCTTAAGATTTATATCAAATATGTGCTATTGCAACTTAAAATGTTTATTGAAATTCGTTTCTAATGCTAAGTAATATAAATTTATGCATTCGCGTAAATTATCATCCATGTTCTGAAATTCGAAACTTTGAAATCGAGTCGATTTGCAAAATATTTTGTAATTATATCTGATGAATGGAGTAAATATTTAATATTATCATTGAAAATTGTAAAAGAAGCAGCAGCGATATGAAATAAATCATTTTTATGCGAGACTTGTAAATTTTTAGGTTAAAAACCATCGAAGAAATTATCGAAATCGAGTCGATTTCAAATTTTCGAGTTTCAGAACATGCCTCTATAAATAAATAGGCCCTTCTAGAAGTCATGCAAGGAAGCACTTTTTTCAACCCTTCTTGGGTAGGCCTCTTAGGATGGCTTCACTTAAGAAGGCCTACCTAAATTATCTTCTGGGAAGGCCGTTCTTGCAAGAATAAAAGACAAGTTCCATAACAAAACAATAATTTTAATTCTAATATTTTTGGGTAAAAGAAATTCATCGTATATACAAGTAGTTATAGTTCAGTCAGATTAGACTTTAACCCTCATAATCTCCAACAGAGGTGGAAGTTACACCCATTGAAAACTAAAGCTACCTTCATTAAAATATTAAAATATATCGTCACCTAAATTGTACGTTCATAAAACTTATCCAATTTTTTATCGCTGAATATAAGGAGCTAAGTGGAAAGACTGAAACGATATACGGGTTTCAAGAACAACGACGGCGACCAATTGACCGATGCCCAGAACGTACTAAAATTTTAGAGGGAACACTTTTCCACCCTGCTGAATGGCAACAGCACTAACACCATTGGAGAATATGAAACCAAGAATATCCTGAACTGACACACCGTGCAGATTGTCGGAGGAACTGGGAGTTATTGGCGACGGTGTGTGGGTGGTGGTGCGGTTGTGTTGTCTATTGTATTGTGCATTTGTGTTCGAGTTGAGATGCTCAGGCGGGCTCTGGTGTGCCGTGGAGGCAGCTCGATTTGAGCAGCAAGGGACCATGTATGAGGTGGTCCACTGCCCGTAAGTCGTAAGGCCTGAGCAAACTCAGAGGTGGCTCCACCCATTACATGAGTTGCACATTTAAGGTGCCTTTCGCACGAGGCGATATTTCAGGCATCTTTTGTGTTCAACTCACGCAGGGTTGCACGAAAAAGAAAATGAATGGCTAAAAATATCAAAATATAAAAAAAATATAAAAATATTCGACATAAAAAGGCGTTTGCATTGTTCAATTTTGCATTCTACTTTTGGTTGAACGGCCTTTCAACTAATCGCTTTCAACAAAGTTGGTCGCCAGCCAACGTTTATGGCCCTATTATGTATGGCGACTGGGGTCTAGTTGCTTTTTGTATTATGTACAGCTATTAGTCTCAGTATACAGAAAAGCGCAGAAAACGTCCGAATTTACTTTTTTAACATGAACTTTTCAGAGTAATTGGCAACTTTGCTCCAATGTGTTGAACAATTTATGTGAACAAATAACAAAATCGTCGATAACGGGAAACAGAAAATTCCGCTACTAGACTCAGTAGCCAGTAGCCATACGTGATGCGAATTTTAGTATATGGTTGCCAATCGACTATCAGTCGCCATACACAATAGGGCCATAAGCCTTTCAACTTTTTTTTCGTGCAACCCTGCGTGAGCTGAACGCAAAAGCAGAGATGTGGAGTTGTGGTGTAGTAGTCTCTGGCAAACGCAGCATATATAGACTCCTGGTCCAGGGTTTGACTCGATGCCCGCCCTGAGCAGAAGTATGCGAGGCAGATGTAACCCTATGGACGTACAACTTTCGAGGAATTTAGCCGACCTAAACGGGGTTAGATCACCGAAACAACAGTCCTTGCTTGGTCAGGTAATACACGAGTCATTCCGGTACGTAGAACCGGCTGTCGTTATACCGTCTTCGGCTCATCCAGTTGAACGAATAACGGAAGCGTTAGGGTACGCGTAAATTATGATTAAAGTCAAATGGCATGAACTGACTTAGGCCACTTTCAGATAAGCAGCTCATATGTTTTTACATAAATATTTACTTACAATTTTTCAGGCAGGTATCTACAGCAACACTACTATTTACATACTTACCTTACGTGTTTCAAAAGCAAGTTTAAATGACATTGAAGTCGACGACATTACTTACGCCTAAATGTATGCTTTTTCACTTGACTGAAATTTGTGTGTTTGTTCATTTACTAAGCTCTGTTGTTCAGAATAAAATACCTTTAAGGTAGGTATTATGCAGACAAACTTTTGTTTGGCAAATTAAATGGCGGCTGCTTAGTTTGCTCCGAGGTGGTTACGTCTAGTTTGCACATTGGTTGTGGTTTTTATGCTTATTGCATAATACATATCGTGCAAATGTTTATATTTTGTACAATATTGTAAAGGCAATTAACAATGCCCTAAACTTTGAAGCACCTACAGTATAATTTCAGTTCTCTATCTTCTAGTATCACTGCAAATTTTGTGTATAACAATTAGATCAAATTTTGTATATGGCAACACTAATTTTACAGCAGTTTGGCCCAACAAAATTAGTGAGAGTCGCCAAACTCGCCCTCTTCTTGTTTGCTGCAACAAATGCACTCAGTTTGCCAAACAAAATTTCTGCATAACACCGACTTGACGGATAAATTATTCAAAGCTTAACATCATATTGTCCTGAAATATGGCCTGCCCATAAGGCAATTGGACTCTTTGAATAGGCGATTTGGAACAAAAAATATTAAAATATAATCGGAGCTCCATTTTTAATAGAAAGATACCCCAAGAGGCGCATTTTTGCATTAAAAATTTTATAAGATCACACCAAATTGCTGCCTCAATTAATTTTGATAAGCAATGCTGCAACTTACGCCCTTAAAGAAAGAAACTCGTATCCTATTATAAGTATGTAGCTTCCCTGAAAGTGCAAATACGATAAATCTTCAGAGCGCTGTGTGAGCAGTGCAAACTCTTCTCACACAGCTCGTCTCGTTCATCAATCCCAAAAATTCAGACTTTCTTTATCTTAAAATACTCTGCAAATGCTTTGGAGCGATTGCCATCTTTTGGCAATTCAACTTGTTCCTACCTTTGCCGCAAACACAATATAATATTTTATACAATATTTATTACAATACATTATTTTGTTTCATTCAAACCGTTATATAGTATATTAAAAATAATATCTCGCATCTACATAAAAGAAATATTTATTTTGAAAATTAATTGCAATAGCATAGAAGAGATATTTTAATAAAACTAAATAAAGAAACAAAAAAATATATAGTTTTATCTGTATTTATTCCGGATTTTATGGGTAAACGACTAACGCTCGTAAAAAAGAAGTGTTTATGATTGCGTATGCGCGTGTCTAGGTAATCGTATGTAGTATGTACGTACGTAAGCATTTATTTGTCTATTGTTTATTTGGTGTATATTGGCATTTTGTGTAGACATGTGGATTTTTTTGTTAATTTCAATAAAACACACTGGAAAACATACTCAACACACTTTCCAAAAGTTAAGCTAAATTTCACCTCACGTTTTTGTTATTTGTTCTTTAATATAAAATTTAAGAAAAGCTTAAAATGATTTATTTTTGTTTTTGTTTTAGAAGGTAGATATATATTTATTACAGAAAGAACGAAATCCATTAAAAAATTCATTCACCAACAAGAATAATTTTTAATTCAAATTACTGGTAAATAAACAGCATTTAGGATCGCTTATCTCACACACTTTTACTTCAACGCTCTCGACGTAAGCACACAAATATTTGTTTTTAGTAGATCTTATGCAGAGAAATTATACAAATTATACTACGTTGTTGTTTCTTTTTCAAACTCTTTTAAATTTTTTTCTTTTCTTTTTTGATTTCGCATAGGATTACACCAATGACGCTTTGCTTAATATAGAACCCATTATTGAGTGCGAAATACGTGAAGGAACGAGTGGATCGTCCATTATCACCCTTTTTACTTTATTATGCATATACATACTTTACGTTGTATGAAAATATGTGGATGTGTGTAGTATGATGGGCATCATATTTTGCTGATCGAAATATTATCAATACTCGGTGAAAGGACTTTTTCTCGAATCTATGTATTTGACTGCTCTAAATTGTGTGAGCATTTCGCTGGGTAGCATTGGATGCCGACAAACACCAAAAATTCAAATTTGAAAATAAGTTTTGAAGAAAAGTTGCATGTCATTTCGTAACCATCATACATAATTACATGCTCGCACTATCGATGCGTACATTTTTTAATGTTTTCATTGCCATGTCGCGCTGCATTGCTACAAAATAAATGTCACATCGCATCAAGTCGCTACTCGTAAATCAGTCTAGTCTACATATGTATGTAACTTTCTTCACACTTTACGCTTCATCTTAAACTTTTGAATCGCTTTTTGCCTCTCCTACGCAGTTCTTAATGTTATATTCTTGCGTATTTTTATTTTGTTTTATTGGTTTATCTCTGATTTATCTTTTGTTTTAATTTTCTTCTGAAGAATATAATTATAATTTATAATAATTAATTAATTATAAATGTAATAATAATAAGTAAGTTGATTTATGTGTTTTGTTGTATTTTATGAATCAATTTGTAATTTTATTCCTTTTCTTTATTTATACGCAGATTTCTTTGCTTTCTGTGTTTTTTCTTGTTTTACGCATAATTCTTGCTTACTCTTGAATTAATGCAGTTTTTATTGGTTTTTGTTTAATATATTTTTCATATTTTTTTGCTGAAGAAGAATTGTTTCACATTGTGGTTGTTTGCTTTTGCTGTTGTTGTTGGTTCTGCTATATTTAAACCCCTGCTTAACTAGAGCGCTATGCCGTTTTTGTTGCTGCTGCTACCATGTTGTTGTTGTTGTTATTGATGATGTTATAGCAATCCTTCTTATTGGTTCCATTCTGGTTGCTGTTACTAGTTGACGGATCGATAGTACGAACTGGAACGCATCACATAGCATACTTTCTAGTCCACTCTCGTGCCAGCTCATTATATTTTTCCCGATCGGTTTTATATATTCTTGCAATCTCTGGTACAAGAGGATCGTCTGGATTGGGATCACAGAGAAGAGAGCAAATTGATAGTAAAACTGCAAGAGATAAGCAAAAATTATTGATGCGTTGTGATCAGTCTCCAAATATATATAGATCAACTAAATTACTCACCTTTTGAAATAGTTAATGCTGGCGACCATTGAGATCTTAAAATGTCGAGACAAATCGATCCGTTACTGTTAATGTTTGGATGGTAGATACGCGTTGTAAAAGCCACTTTAGGCGGTTTGAAAGGATAATCTGTTGGAAAATGAATTGTTAAGAAGAACACGCCACCTTGGTACGGGCTGTCAGGCTGAAATTAAAGAAAATGTATATTAAAATTTATTAATTTTCGTTAGTACTTTTAATTAGGAAATAATATATAAGTTCTGGGCAGAGAAACGATATTATTAAGATTGACAGGACTATCTAACTAATTATCGTTTTAGTTTTTGTCAATCAAATTTTACAATTTTTTCTATTACAAAATGTTTGGATGCAATCAGATTAACGCTGAGTTTTTAAAAACTTCATACCTAATTTTTGCTTAAGTAATGTCGTATTTCCACTGGGCAATACAAGACAAGCCATTTTAATGATACATTTGGAGGTTAGGAGAAGAGTTATATGTATATCATTTTAATTTTTTAGGTTAACTAGTGTAAACTCCAACTAAAACCTACGATAAGAATTAGTTATCGAATTTTTTGATTTTTCTTTTATTGGGAGAAACCAGCATGGCATGACGTTCCGCTTGCTTGAACTTTGTTTTACAAATCAGTTAAGTTCCGCAAAAAAGTTTTCTATAGGCCAAGTAGAAAAATTACATTGAAGATAGCACAACACCGGAATCGTTTTGACAAGGGATGACGGAAAATCGTAGCATTTTTAAGTAAAAATTAAATCATTAAATAAGTATAAGAAGGTGTCAGCCACATTGCGTAAGCCGTAAATTAGGCTAGATTGTACGACTCGACAACAGTAGCATTGTCTATTGTCGTACTGAAATAAGTAAAGGACCAAAATCGTGGAAAACTATACAGTGCTGCCAACTTTTTTCATTTTAATACACTAGTCGAGTGGAAATTTTAGGCAATGACGTGAAATGTTCGATACGATTCGACTCTCGAAAAACGCCTTGCATTTGACACGACTCTCGCAATGAGGGTGTGTATTCGAGCTTCAATAAAAGTGACAGTTACTTTTTATCAAAAAGCACCTCTTCTATGTGAAAAGCAACAAGGCGGCAGTATTGCGTTAATTATTACGTTCACACCCATACGTCAGGTGTTGTTATCCAGTGGCTAACACTTGTTCTTGCAGCATCCGTTTTATTGGCCGGGATGTATGGTTATGGTATTTAGTTTTTCTAAAAGACCAAACTACCAGGCATACTAAAAACGATAAAGATGATAAATGGGTACAAAAAAATTAGACTCTAGTAGTACATAATGGACACGTTCCAACGACAGTCGGGTCTACGTAAACGAAACGAATGAGATTTATATATGGCCAAGGACTGTCACACCAACATTTTCCCAAAAAATCGTCTGGCGAATTTTTATGTTGCAACAAATCTAGCTAGTTCACACATTCCAACTTTACTAACTTTAACGACCCAGATTTATGTATATCTGGCCAAAAATCTTCACTTCAGCAACATTGTCAACAATATCTTATGCTATTTTTTTGATGTTACATCAATCATAGTTTACAATACTACTACACGCATTCGTTGGAGTCTCTTATGTTAAGTTGCAATAAGAAATAGAAACATTCACTCCTACCTAAAGCAAAGGTCCCTTTTCGTAGATACGTACAGTATTGGACATATCTATAGCACCCCCCTTTCAAGGCGATATTGTTTGCCACTTATGTTTAGTTATTTGTTTTTAAGAATTTTCAATTAAAATACAGTTCATTCTCTAACAAAACCCATATAAACCCATGTTTTAAACTTTTTAAAAGACCGCAAAAAAGCGCAACAAACTTTCCCTTAAATTTCAAACTTTTTTCCCAGAAGCGGTAGAATTTTTTTGAATACACAGTTTTATAGCCCACTCAATTTTAGTCTAATAACGTGCAAGTTTCAAGTAGCTAAAAATTACCGTTGTTGTATTTTAATTGAAAATTCTTAAAATTAAATAAATAAACATGAGTGGCAAACAATATGACTTCGAAATGGGGGTGCTATTGTATTAGCCAATACTGTGTATACGAGTGAAACAGTTATTTGTGGTACGACTCACGATTGCTGTAGAGTACGATATTGTCCTGCTTGGTTCAGCTACATAGTTTGACTATCGTTGCCGTCAAGCTGAAGTCAGATCGGAGGAAAGAGGTTTTAACTAAGCGGGTTTAAAGGCCAAAGTAAAGATGTGATTGATACCATGCTTAATGCCTACACAATCTGCACATATATTGGGTATGTCAAAATCCGCATAAGTAGGAGTTTAGCCTACTTTGTCTCAATAGAAATGTTATCTTCGGGACTAAACGGTATTATAGAAAAAAGGAAACAAACGATAATCATGGCAAGAAGCCGGTTAAGCATCTCTTGGTGTCTTCACAGTGAATGTACAGTGTTGGACATCTCATTTTGGACCATATTCGAAATGATATTGTTTGACACTTATGTATGTTTCTTTATACAATTTAAAAATTTTTTCAACTAAAATACAGTTAATTCCCTCACAAATACCACATACCCCAAAGTATAAAACTAAGTAAAACACTAAAATTCAAACTTTTTTCGCAGAAGTGCTAAAATTTTTTTCCATATACAGTTTTGTAGGTCTTTAAATTTCAGTAGATAGTATATAATAATAATGTGCAAGTTTCAAGTGTCTAGGTTGAACATGGGAAGACGGATTTGAATACCGTGGAGACTGATTTTAATAGTATAAAGTAAATGTCGGTAATTGCGTCGTTTTCAGTTTATTAACGAACTATGGGTACATTTTGCATTGCCATGCAATTTATTAAAATTATAACATACACTACTCAAATTGTAATCTAATTTTCTAGGCAACCCCTTTAAAAATGATAGCTGATAAAAGCTTTAATACACGAAGGACATACGATGTTGGATATTGCATTTGTATACCTCGGTTACTGAATGCCAAGAACAACGTACTATATACACAAACAATGCAACAATTAAAAAAAAGAGTAATAACAAAAATTGAAAGAAAACGTGATATACAAAACAAAAAAGTGTATAATATGTATGAATGTATGTATTGTAAATGCCACAGAAACGCTTATGATATGTGTAGAGCTTCTTACCGGTCCCATTATTGTAGCTTGCCAGTGAAATACTGAAATAGAAAAGAGAAAAGTGATTAATTTTCATTTAGAACATACAACACACACTTGCATACATATGTATGTACTATGTACATATGCATATAAAACGCGGAATAAAAAGCGGAAAAAGGTATGGATGTACGTGTGTAGGTATGCATAAAAAAAAAATAGTACAAAACCATTTACGTTCCCATGTATGAGTATGTAAAACTTATTTACATACGAGATAAACTTCGATATGCCACCAATGATGCATTTGCACAAGTGTACGTACGAATGTTCATAAATGTGAATAAAAGCAAGAAAAGTAGGAGATAACCGTTCATTAGAGAGGATATAGCTTCTTTTAGACAGAGATAGTTGGCCGGAATATTTTTTTACAGTTTTGCAATGTCACGTTTACATACATGAGTACCATATTCCCCCCTTTTGACTATAATTGTCCACACCAGAGTTTTTCATTTCAAGTTTCACAGACTTTGCCGTATACCTGTAAGTATGTAAGTTCTTTCCAAGTATTTTGCCCAAACATAATAATGCAAAAGCGGATAAGACATAAAAAATAAAGGAATTTTTGTAGGGAATACCAAGGAACCGCATCATTATTGAAATGCAGTTTTAATTCCCCCTTTAGCCACTTGGAACTACCCAAAATCTGCATTATCTGCTGCAAACCATTACCATAACTGGGTTAGAACTTCCTTACGATCGTAGTAGATTTACTAAGATTTTCGCGAAAATTCGAAATTTACTACGCTGTACCTACGATCTTGTTCTATTGCAGCATCTGAACCCACGATAGAATTCTCTTCCTTTTGAAGCATATAAAGGCTATTCACAATCCGATGCATATGGTCTTGCATTTGCATTTTCTGCTACCGTTGTTGTGAATTTTCAAATGCATCGAAATATGCAAATGCAAGATCAGATGCACTGGATTGCGACTGCCCTTATGTACAATTTCACTTTAAATAAAATCACAAAACTGTCAATTCATATCATGCATGACATATGGGTATTTCCCACGGTGAAATTAAAAACAGAAGTAGTAATAAAACAGCTTTCTAATTTATTTTCTTGACAATCGGCTATCTTATAGATATGTTTTAAGGCAAATTTTTTCTTCTCGCTCTTATTACTACACCTAGTATAATTTCAGCATGGGTATTTCCAATCTGGCGTTACATAACACTTGTATGACAAAATATTAAAAAAAACACTGAAAGTCGAAATTTAAAAAAAGTTTATCTAGATTTGCATGGCAATTATTCAGTACCAAAAAATACAACTAAATCGAGTGTAATTCATTTTCATCAAGTGCTTCAAAAATTAGACGAGGAATAAACATTTAGATCGCTGAAATGGAAAACAAAAGAATAAGCTGGGTTCAAATTACGCTATGCAAGTTGTACATTTTGAGCAAAGGTTTTGAAAGTTGAACTCACTTAATTGGGACGTTTTAAATTCAAGGGCATCCCCCATTTTACCAGATTGGCTGCGGTTTTCGAGATAACGGTACTAGAAAATTTGATTAAATTGTAACTATTTTATAAATAACTCCCTCAGTTTTGAAGTTATTTTACTAGAATTTTGCACATAACGGTTTTTTTTTTAATATTACCTTAATTATTCCTTAAAATTATCGAAATAGGTTCATTTCAACCAATAGCTCCAATACAACTGAGTACTCAGATATGTGTTTTTGCGCTATAACTCGTAACTTCATATCTGAAGTGAAGTGAACCAATATTAAATTTTTACCTGCTTAATTGGAGGAGTTATAACGCAAAACAATGTCTCTGAACAATCAGTTGTATGGGAGCTAGATGTTATAGTGAACCGATACCGATGATTTTGCGTGATAGTGAAGGTAATATTAAAATACAATCGAGTGCAAAATTTTAGAAAGTTGATTTGATACCATTGTAATTGTTTGTAGAATACAATTAGGGAAGTGCGATTAATCGGTTAATCAGTATTTTAACTAAACATAATCCTGATAAATCAAATAATTTGATTAAGCAGATTCTGTATTTGTAGGCATGATTTTTTTTTTAATTTGATATAAAACTGTGCTTTTACTTTAAATTTGGTATACATTTTGAGAATTGTTTTGGAGTTCGCAGGTATATCCTTTTTGCGATCCGCCGGCGAGTCGTTTTTGCGGATATGAATTTAAAGTAAAGTACAGATTTATAACAAATTAAAACAAGTAAGAAAGTCTAAGTTCGGGCGGAGCCGAACATTAAATACCCGGCGCAAGTGTTAAATATATGTTTTTCACCTTTCCGAAAGCTACCGATACATGGTAAACCGAGGTGTATCCATTTTGAGTAAATTAGCGTCCTTAAATTTCGAAATATTGAAGTTTCAAGCATTTCTGAAATTACTGTTATATGAAAAACGGCCGTAATTTTAGTTTGATTTCAATAATTTTCAACGTTTTGCTGGCAAGCACAATAACCACACCGATTTTGGTACAAATTGGTAGAACGGTTACCGAGATGCATATATGTGATCATAAGTGGGCGGTGCCACGCCCATTTTTCAAAATTTTATCCTAAACGTATTTCTTGGTAAAGAATTGTTGCAAGCATCAATTTTGAATAAATTAGCTTCAATAATTACTGATTTATCGGAGATTTTGCATTTCTCTAAATTACCGTTATATGGGATGTGGGCGTAGTTATTGTCCGATTAAAAATTTTCGGCCGTTTCGTATGTTATACCAAGGTTGACAACTGTGCCAAGTTTGGAAGAAATCGGTGCAGCGGTTACCAAGATATACACATGTAACCATAAGTGGGCGTGGCTACGCCCATTTTCCAAAAATTTATAATATTCTTATTTTTCGTCTAAAACTTATTGTAAATATCAATTTTGAGTGAATAATCTTCAGTAGTTACTAAAATATCGCAGTTTTCGTATTTCTGAAAATTACCGTTATATGGGAGATAGGCGTGGTTATTGTCCGATTTTGTCCGTCCTACGCCCGAAAGAAGTGCACATACCAAATTTCGTTAAGATATCTCGATTTTTACTCGAGTTATCGTGTGCACAAATGTTCATTCTGATCATTTATGTATACATTTGTCTATATCTATCTCGATTTGTTTTGCATGTTACAAACAACCGTTATGTGAACAAAGTTATAATACCCTTGTGACCAAGTGCGCTCGGGTATAAAAAAATGCATACCCACAAATTGTATTTGTTATTAATAAGGCCAATAGAGTGAGCTCTACCTACCTCTATAAAAAACAAGTAAGAGCAGCGCTGTCTTCGGCTATGCCGAAGGCTT